TTTTTTTTTTTTTCTGTTAAGGCCGCGGGCTGGCCCGTTTAGGCCCGCTCCTCAGCAGGCCTCTAATATCCCAGCCCAACCCACTTTTTTAGCGGAGCGGGGCGGGCTAATCCGCGGGCCTAGGCCCGTTTTGACATCTCTAGTGGGGTGCACTAAATTTTAAAGGTTTGGGCCTTTTATTTTATTTTTTTTTGCATATACGTATGCATTTGCAATTTGTGCAGTCCTGGGCTAATATAATTTTTTTATTCTTTTTTTTTTTGTCCCTATACAAAGTTCCAAATGCAATTTTTTATTTTTTTTTAATTCAAAACTAAAAGCCAACTTAAAATAAATAAAAATAAGATACATTATATTATCATAACACGGTATAAAACTAATGCTAAAAATATATGTAATTATATAATATACATATAAAACAAACGGGTTCGACCACTGGTTTGAACAGTAAACTATTGAACTGGTAGTTTCATCGATTCGATCACCGATTCGATTTTCAAAACATTAACGAAATAGTTTCGAAACGGACCATAACATTTCCAAAAAAATAAAATATCCAATCAAAAACTTTATCCAAGCTGAGCAGCAGTAGATTTATCCAAGAGATACGCGGGCCGCCGGATTTATTGCATTTGCCGGTAGCCTTCGTCACCAACCTTTCTTCCCCGATGCAAATGGTTTCGTGCTAAATCCCCCACACTCAAAGCAAATGACTTCAGATTAACCCGTCTCTCAACTCCTAGTCCCCAACTACCCTTCATCATCTTCCGGCAATTACCTTTCCCTTTTACCCGCATCTCTTCAGTTGAAGCAGAACTTTTTCTCCAGCTCCGGGCGACGCCGTTCCGAAACTATGGCGCTGAAGTCATTCGTTGAAGTCCAACCGGACTCGCACTTCCCGATCCAGAACCTTCCGTACGGCATGTTCAGGCCTGAACCGGGTTCGGAGCCCAGACCAGGCGTTGCTATCGGAGACTATGTGCTGGACCTGTCCGTCGTTGCCTCCGCCGGTCTCTTCGACGGTCCGTGCCTCAAAAACTCCGACTGCTTCAAGCAGGTGTGCTTTCTTACCTAGTTGAATTTGTTTTTAGCTCCCTTTGTTTTCAAAATTGAGGCAGAGATAATCCAGAATGATGCTAAAAGTTGTGAATCATGGAAATTTTGTGCTAAGGCTGAGAGAGAGAGAGAGAGAGAGAGAGAGAGAGAGAGAGAGAGATGTGATTTCATATAGTTGATGGCTGGTTCATTGTGCTTGTTTCTAGAATCTCGAGATAATGTATGTAAATCATTGACCTTGTGGTAGAAACTAATTCAGGAGTTATGATGATGCTGGATTTCTTAACCACCTTATTTGCAGTTATATGAAATTGTTGCCTCAGCAGTCTAAAAAATATGTCTTCTTCTAATCATTTCATCCGTGCAATAAAAAACTTATCAAATAAATAATAAAGTATATGAGGAAGATTTTCTTTAGAAGTCTAGCACTTATTGCTTGCTTAACGACGTATTATACAGCCTAATCTCAACAAGTTCTTGGGGCTGGGGAGGCCAGCATGGAAGGAAGCTCGTACGACATTGCAAAAATTGTTATCAGGTTGGCTACTCGCATTAGTTTCATAAATATGTAGATTTAGTTTTTTTTTTTTCTCTGTATGGTGTTACCGAAATTAAATTTGATTGATGTTACTAATTACTGCATTGCCTCACCACTTGTTAGACAAAGATTGGTACTTCAGCTGTGTTGGTTCACTTTATTTATTTATTCTTTTTGTTGTTTTTCTTCACATGATGCAGCTGCAGAACCAGTATTGCGTGACAATGCAAGTTTAATGGAGAAAGCACTTGTGCCTATGGTATGACGTGTAAGCAGTTTTAATTTTCATAGCTCACACAGTCCCACTTTGCTTCTTAAATATGTGTTGATGTCTCAGGACAAGGTTCAAATGCTTCTTCCCATTGCAATTGGGGACTACACAGACTTCTTTGCATCAAAACATCATGCAAAAAACTGTGGACTTATCTTCCGAGGCCCGGAAAACCCAATTAACCCAAATTGGTATAGTTATTTAGAATGTACCATCTCTCCTCTCTATGTTCATTCCCGCTTTTGATTTCCAAAACGAGGCAATTTTCTATCTTTCCCTCTCTCACCCTCTTTTGGGTGCCTGCATATGTTTCAGGTTTCACATTCCTATAGCTTACCATGGACGTGCATCATCTATTGTCATATCTGGCACTGACATAATAAGGCCAAGGTTACAAAATTGTTTTCGTCTTTTCTTACAGGCTATTGCAATTTTTTTCCTTGTTCTCCGTGCATCATCCAGTAAGGAGAAAATAATCCATCTCGACTGCTGCATATAATTCCAGCTAACATGAGTGTAATGGAAAGTGAAGTTGCAGGCAAAATAGAGGAAGAAGAAGTGCTAACATGATTTATTCATCCATGAAGAACATAATAATATTTAAAATGACTGAATATTGTTCTTCTACTTTAGGGTGCTGACAAAGTTATACTTCATTTGGAACCCTCGCTACAGATTTTGATTCCTTAGGTGTTTTCTCACATTGTCATAATAATTTATGTGCCTTTCTCAGCTTCAAATTAATTAACTTCGTCTCTGTTAAGACTTAAGCAATTTTTATTTTTATTTTTATTTTATTTTATTTTTTGTTTAATATACAAAACTCAAAGAAGTTAGTTCATACAACGCGTACCCAATTGGGTACAGGCTAAACAGCACCCACAGTATAGGAGTTTATTTGAAATGAAGAGAACTTCTGGAACATGTGATTCTTATGAGAGCCTTAGTAAGATGGGATTGCTGAAAACTCAATGAAACCCGAAGCTAGGTCTTAGAGTTAGACTTGTGTTTAATTGTCAGCCAACTAACTTTCCTTGGCATTAATTTCTATTATTAGTACATTTTTTTTTTTTTTACGTCCTGCTCCACTAGAAGCTGGAGCTCATATATCAGACAACTTTTGCCCCGTCAGTCATTTTCTGGTTGAGCGTAGAATAGTCTCCTTTTGGGTTTTGCCAATTGACTTGTTTCAGTAAGAAAATTTTTACTTCTAAAAACTTTTATAGCATGCTTCATGATTTGATGAAATGATGTTTATTCCAGAGGGCAAGGCCACCCAGCTGCCAACTCGCTGCCCTATTTTGGACCTTCTCGTAAGCTGGACTTTGAACTGGAAATGGTAAGTTTTGACAAATTATTAACCAAACTCATCTGTTATTCCAATCCTTGTTACAAGAATGTTAAATTAAAATGGCCTGATGGCTTCAGAATTAAACATCATTTTTGGTTCTTGTGTGGCTTGTTGAAATAAATTTAGGCTGCGGTTGTTGGTCCTGGAAATGAATTGGGAAAGTCTGTGGATGTTGACGAGGCTGCGGATCACATCTTTGGACTCGTGTTAATGAACGACTGGAGTGGTACGAATCAGCATTAGAAAATATAACAAATGCACATTGGAAAGGCAGAAAAATAAAGAAGATTGATCACTTAATGATTATTCATGCTTATTGTGACAGCAAGAGATATCCAGGCGTGGGAGTATGTGCCTCTTGGCCCTTTTCTGGGGAAAAGTTTTGGTAAGAATCGTTTTACCTGTCTGGAATTCCATTCATAATCAAGATATCAAAATGGTGCCATGAACATTTAGAATGCCATTTTCATGTGTGGGCCCCTTGCAGGCACAACTATATCCCCATGGATCGTGACCTTAGATGCCCTAGAACCATTTGCCTCGGACGCTCCAGAACAGGTTCTTAATCTGCTCATCATTTTTTTCTGGGCCGCACTAGTTTGACTGGTCCATCTATCAATGTGATTGTTTACATATTGTTAATTGCAGAGTCCTTCTCCCTTGCCATATCTTGCAGAGAAGGAATCCAAAAACTATGACATCTCCTTGCAGGTTTTTGGCTCCTTCATGTAACTCAACATTTTTTTTTAGTTTTTTTTGGTATCAAATACTCTCTTTCTCTCCATATTTACCTAAATTTTGATTGGTAAAAAATAAAAAAAATAAAAAAAGAAAATAGATTAAGAAAGAAAAGAAGAATAAGTCAGATTTTTTTCAATGGAATAAAAAAATTAAATGTTTATAATTCTATAGAACATGGATTCACTGTCTGTCCCCAGGTGTCCATTGTACCAGCTGGACATAAAGATGCTTTCACTGTGACAAGAAGCAACTTCAAACACTTGTGAGATATCTACAGCCTTTTCCAGTCCCATAATTTCCTTTGCTTTTGATGAAATTTGAAACCGTACGTTTTCTTGCTCTGTGTTGGTGCAGATATTGGACGATAACCCAGCAACTTGCCCATCACACCATCAATGGCTGCAACCTAAGGCCCGGTGACCTCCTCGGGACTGGAACTATAAGTGGCCCTGTAAGATCTATTGAAAAACCGAATCCTCTACTGTTTGCATAGCACTCCTTGATGAAAGTAATGATCCTTAAATTCATTTTGAAGGAGCCGGAGTCATATGGGTGCTTGCTAGAATTGACCTGGAATGGGCAAAAGCCTTTATCTTTAGGTGGAACGAGCCGCACATTTCTGGAAGATGGCGACGAAGTCATTTTCACTGGCTGCTGCAAGGTTTTAATTAATTCTTGTGCACCTTCATCACTTTTGCAGTTTCCTCTTTTTATCTTTTATTTCTATAATTTTGACTGGAATTGCAGGGTGATGGTTACACCGTTGGTTTTGGCAAGTGTTCTGGGAAGATTATTCCGTCTCAACCTTGAAACTCTCTATTTTTATCTTGGCGAAATTGTGGAAATTATTATTGTCTGAACTAATAAGCACGCCGAGATTATGGTTGGGGCTTAAACATTTCATGCAAAGGTCTTTGTGTTGCTATAAATCATATATGTGGATTGAGAATTGATCTTTTTTGGTTAATAATCGATCGGATTCGTGAAAACTGCTCTCAAGGAATTGCAAAATACAATATAGGTATGAAAATTCATCTTAAAATGTAATTACAAAAGAAAGGGTTACAAAACCAGAAAAAGAAAAATCTGCCATGGTAAAGATAAGAGATAGACTTTCTTCGTGTAGTTCAAGAGATGATATTTGTTCTATTGCATTCATTCAATGTAGTGACTGAGCACCAAGCTATAACCTTATATAATATAATAGTTTGTATGTGAGTGTGCCCAAGGAACATGTGTCAGACAACATATTGGTTATAAGTCAAACCTTCTGAAAACTCTACCAGATGTCTCTGTTCACCAAGGACAAATGATCTAGCTTGCATGGATGTTTTGGTCCCTCAATATGCCTCCTCAATTCGAGCAACGATTGAGAATCCACATTGAGTTTGGCTCAAAGTCTTGAGAAGAATTGACCATTGCGAGGTTTGGTTAGAATGTCACCTATTTGATCAAGAGTTGAGTTGAGACATGTCTAACTCATATAACACCATGCATGATCTTTTCCTCAAAATGTGTAACTCTAATTCAACATGGTTGGTTCTGTTCCACTGGGATTAGCTGCTAAATGAACAACGCCAGAATTGTCCACCCAAATTACACTTGGACTCTTGTGCTTGATCTTAAGCTCTTTTGATAAAGAGTTTATCCACATCATCTCACAAATAACTTGTGCTAGGCTTCTGTACTCAGCTTCCATGGAGGATCTAGACACGGCGGTTTTCTTCTTTGAACTCCAAGGTATAAGATTTTGTCTTATAAAGCTGCAAAAACTTGAGTGAACCTTCTGTCATCTATGTCTGATACCCAATCAGCATCAACAAAAGCAGTGATGTTGAAGTTTGAGCCAGACAATAGTTTGAGGCTAAAATGTCTGGTTCCAACAACATATCTCAAGATTCCTTTCACATCCTTTCAATGTGTGGCAAGAGGAAATTGCATGAATTGACTAACCTTGTTGTCAACAAAATTAATATTTGATCTTGTCATGGTAAGGTGATAATCTTTCTGTAGAGATGATAATCTTCAATTGAATTACCAAATTGCTTTGATATAGTTGGTGTTGCAACCACAGGAGATTTAGCTCATTTTGCCTCATGCATGCCAACCCTATGCAAAATTTCATCTACGTAACCATTTTGATTCAACTTGTAAACAACTTGAATGCTAAAAAAATAGTTCAACCTTTTCAAGTCTTTCAATGAAAAATGAGATTATAACTGGGAAATGAGTGTCTTGATCTCTTGTGTTGAGCTGCTTGTAATAATGATGTCATCAGCATAGACCATAATGAAGAGGCTAAACTAAGATGGGTGCTTGTAATAGAGAGATGGATTAGCCTTAAAAGGGCAAAAGCCAAGAGAAATCAGAGTAGAAGAAAATTTACAAGACCATGTGGATGAGTCATACAAATTTCAATGTCTGTCACCATACAGAAAAGTATTGTCCACGTGTACTTGCCTGATATCCATCCAATGTGTGATTGCCAATGATAAGAGGATTTTAATGGTTGTGGACTTTACAACTGAGTTGTATGTTTTAGTATAATCGAGGCAAGCTGGTTGTGTGTATCTTCTTGCCACTAATCTTGCTTTATGTCTAGAAATGGAACCATATGGATTCTTTTTTGATTTAAAAACTCATTTGCAATCAACAAAAGTCTTAAAGGTGGTAAATGAGTGCGATCCCAAGTTTTGTATTTGATAAGAGCTTGAAATTTAGGTTCCATGGCATGTTTCCATTAAGGTACAAATAAGGCTTGTAAAATAGGGCAAGTTCCGTGGGAGAGGATAATTGAGCTGCAAGGGTTTTCGGTTTGTGGATGCCAGGCTTTGATCTAGTAGTCATAGGATGCGTGTTTGTGACACTTTCATCTCAGTAGGAAAAGAATGATCAATAGCATGTCTGAATGGTATTGCCTTGTTTAATGTCCAAATAAATATAAATGCGCCCTTCCATGTCCTGATGAATTAATAAATGAAAGAGAAGCTAATGTAGAAAAATGAGAAAGAGATGAGGTATTAGGATGAGATAGACTGGACGAAAGAGGGCGAAAAGACAATTGAATGACATGAGAACGAGTAGGTGTACTATAATGGGGGAGTTGGGGGTGATTGGCTATCTAGGATAGGTTTTTGGAAGGGATAGGTGGATTCATAATAAATAAAATGATAATGATTTTGTTATTGGGAAGCAAGACTTTATAGCCCTTTAATCCTGGGGTGTAACCAATGAAGGTAGAAGAAACACTTTTTTTGCTCAAGTTTTTAAGTATTGTATGGTTTCATGAGGGGAAAACAAAGACATTCAAATCTTTTAAGACAAGACTAGTTTGCTTGTGTTCTTGTGAGAGATTCAAAAGGAGAAATGAACTCAAAGGCCTTTGTGGAGTTCGATTTATAAGGTAAACAACAGTAGAAAAAGCCTCATCCCAATATATAAAAGGTAAATGAGACTAATTGATTAAAGCTATGTCAGTTTGGACGATTGTTATGTGTTTTAGTTCTGCCAAGCCTTTTTGCTCAAGGGTATAAAGGCATGTAAATCTATGAAAAATTCCATCTGAGGACAATATTGGTTTAAGGACTTAGAATTATCCCCTGCCATCATTCTGAAAAGTCTTAATAGAGGTTTGAAACTGATTTTCAACAAGAGCCTTAGAATGAAAAAAAAAGTCCTCCTTAGTGTCTGTTTTATTTTGTAACAAATAGAACCTTGTAAATTTAGTAGCAACATCAATAATACCATTTATTATTTATATCCCTTATGTGAAATGATGTACCCTACAAATCTGAGTGAATTAGCCTAGATGCTTATATCTATGACAATCAAAAGGATAAAAGAGAAGCTGCTTTTGAAATTTTGATTGCATGCATACAGAACATAAAGAGTCTTCAACATTGTCACTAAACTGAATATGACAATGCTTAAATGTTGATCTCACAATATCAAGAGAAGGATGTTCTAATTTGGAATGCCATATTTCCATACTTATATGAGTTTTTTTCGTTCAACAACTTTGCAACTTTATTGGAAATAACTAAAAGGAGGTTGAGATAAGGTGCTGGGACTCAAGAACTGGGTGGTTGCTTATTTTCTTGGTGCGGTGAAACTTGTATAAAACATTTTCAAGGTTTCCTTCCAATAGTATTTTTCTTGATTTGAGATCCTTCACAAGACAATAATGTGGACGAAATTCAAAGAAACCCCATTATCCCTGACAAATTGGGCTACTCTTATGAATTTTTTTGTTTAATAGATGAATATGAAGCTGGTTATTGTGATGAATGTGTGTTTAGAAGACCCTTTATCATTGATTTACCATAATGAGCAATAACCATATTTGTACCATTAGCTACTTGGATTCTGTCATTTCCAACAACAAAATTTGAATTAGGGTACCAACTTATGTCTTGAGATGAATTTTTAAAAGTTGTATCTCTCTCGTTAGAAGAGGTTAGCAAAAGTTTGAATTAGAGAGGCATTGTTGTAGTTCTGAGTTTCATAGCTTCCTCCTCAATTATTTTGCTTTTGTTAGAGAAGTTCATGTCAATTTTTCTCTTCGTCGTCGATGTGGAGAAATCGCAATGAAAAAAGCATTTTTTGAAATGATGACTTACAAGGAGAGGAGAGATTCAATTGACGAAGCAGCATAAGCAGGCTTCTATTGCTACGTAACAATAAAGCAGGGTAACATTTTGCGCCCATTTAGAATTGGAAGACGAAGCTTGTGAAAGATAAGTTTAGCTCAATTTTTAATAAAGAAATGCAATTATTTTATAGAATAATGCCACCTAAATAACTAACCTCAATTATTGTCTCTCTCTCTTGAATCATCACCAATAGAGAACATCAATTTGAATTAGTATTCTACCTGTGCATTTGCACAAATGTAAATAAAATACTGTGAGTTATT